GTATATATATATGTACATAAAAATCAGTTCACAGCTGCAGACTACTCACCTCCAGCCACAACAGAACCAGCCCCACCTCCCACTCCAACACAGCCTCACATTCACCTCACAGCTGATCAGAGGTCAGCTCAGGAAAACAAAGATCAGGAAGGCAGCAGGACCAGATGGAATCAGCCCCAGACTGCTCAGGGACTGTGCAGACCAGCTCTGTCAGGTGGTCCTGCACATCCTCAACCTGAGCCTGAGTCTGGAGAGGGTCCCTGATCTGTGGAAGACTTCCTGCGTGGCTCCAGTGCCAAAGATCACACATCTCAGGGAGCCCAACCACTACAAACTGGTGGCTCTGAGTTCTCATCTGATGAAGAGCATGGAGAGGGCTCATCCTTCATCATCTTCGTCCTGTGGTAAGCCCAGCTCTGGACCCTCTGCAGTTTGCCTACCAGCCCGGCATCGGAGTGGAGGACGCTGTCATCTACCTATAGCACAGATGTCTCTCTCACCTAGAGCAAGCAGGAAACACTGTGAGGATCATGTTCTTTGACTTCTCCAGTGCTTTCAACACTATCCAGCCTGCTCTGCTGAGAGGGAAGCTGGAGGGAGCCGGAGTGGACAAGCAGCTGACAGCATGGACCATCGACTACTTCACCAACAGACCACAGTATGGGAGGCTCCATGACCGTGTGTCTGATGTGGTAGTCTGCAGCATGGGGGCACCACAGGGCACGGTCCTCTCACCCTTTCTGTTCAGTCTGTACTCGTCAGACTTCAGGTACAACTCAGACCACTGCCACCTTCAGAAGTTCTCGGATGATATGGCCATCACTGGATGCGTATCAGACGGGAATGATGAGGAATACAGGGGGGTCATCAGTGACTTTGTTGGCTGGTGTGAGATGAAATCCTGTGTGGCTCCTCCCCCAGTTTACCCACCAGGACACTGATGGGTCTTGGAGAGGAGACGATGTCTCCCTCTTGGTTTGGAGGCGATGGGCCGGACGTACAGCCACCTGGGGGTGACCTGTGTGACTGAGTCTGACGTGTCTCCTCCGGGAGTCATCGGGCGGGAGCCTTTAGCTCGGCCTCCAGCTACCCTCCTTCCGGTGGTCGCTCCCTTCTCGAACCCCAGCCCCTGGGTCGGCGTAGTAGCTCAGGACGCCTCCAGGTGCTGGTCACCACTGTTCACAGGTAGCCGCTCCCTCGAAGGATGTGCACTTCTTATTGATGTCATCAGTTAGACTGTATAACACATCAGGATGTCATCAGTTAGACTGTATAACACATCATGATGTCATCAGTTAGACTGTATAACACATTATGATGTCATCAGTTAGACATATAACACATCATGANCATCACCCCTCCCCCGCTTGGTCACTCAGATCATAATCTGGTCCTTCTCCACCCCACCTACACCCCTGTTGTGAAGAAGAAACCCCCTACCAACAAGAAGGTTATAAGGCTGTGGTCTGAGGACTGTAGTGAGGCCCTGAGAGACTGTTTTGAACGTACAGACTGGCAGGAACTCTGCAGGCCTCACGGCGAGGACATCAAGGTCCTGGCCCACTGCATCACCGATTACATGACCTTCTGTGTGGAGAACACTGTGCCAACTAAGAAGGTACGGTGCTTTTCCAACAATAAACTATGGGTGACCCCAGA